AATGTAATGAAAACATTTTATTGCATGAGTACTACATTTCTTGCTCCTACTCACATCAGAAACATTTTACTTGTAGGCAGCAGACTGCTACTTACACCTTGAATAATTTGAATAATTGAAAAATATTACAGGAGCAAAGTGTTTTGTTTTAAAAGAGAATGATTAGCATGAGGCTAAAAATTGCCCAGCTAATCATTCAATGCTAACAGCATAGTGCTCTTATACTCACTGACTGCCCAGGCACCTGAAGTGCTCATATGTTCAATCCCAATTGTTATAAGCCTTTTCCTGTTCCCTAGTCTTGTCATTGATGTTGCCTTTAAAATTTAGTCAGGAAGCTTCCAAGGTTATCAAGTGTACTATGATAAGTATAACAACAATAAAAGAATATGCCTGAAGAAAGAGCCAGTGTATGCTAACAATCCAGCCACAGCAGTACCAGATGAACTCTGCCTGCTCATGAATAACGTCACAGTCTGCAGGCTCCCTTCAGCCTCATGTGGATTGGAGATGGTGCATATATTATTCTTCATGATTTAAAAATCTAACATAAAAGCAAATCTGAACCAAGAAAGTAATAGCTGGTACTTAAGGGAAATAGAGACGTTGTAACATAGTTGTGTCTGAAAAAATGTAATCCTTCTAACTCAGTTAAACATTATGCAAAATTGTAATTAAAGACATAGAAAGACTGGAGTGGTTTAGCTGTTTAAGAAGTTAGGAGGTTGAGGGTCAAAGAACCTCATGTATGTATAGGACTCAGAGAAGGGCATGGGGCTATAGAAAAGAAATGACTGATTTTACTTCACCTTTCCAAAATGTCACCCAGAAATTCAGAGAATTGTCTGATCTACATGATTCTTATAAGAAATGTTTATATCTTGTCTAATGACTCCTGTTCATGGAGGTTAGATTCCAGCTCAAGGAGGGTCACGTTCTTTCTGAGCAGAACTGAATTAATTTGAGAAGATCATAATATCTCCTTAGCTGGAGAAGACAGAGGAATAGCTGTCGTCCTAAAACGGGGTAAGTTACATACCCTACACTGGCAGTTCACATGGAAAAAAAAAAAAGCTGGAATAAAGCAACTTGTGTGAAAATGAGATTGAAGCATTCTGAAGGCTCCCAGGACTGTGCTATTGCTGTGCTAGCCTATTGTGATAGTGAGCATAGCACAAGATTATCCATTCCTCAAAAACGTGTGGAAAAAAATAGGATGAATATCAGTTCATAAGCCTATACGTGCACTGAGTGCCACATCTTTTTGCCATCAAAGTGCAGAGTATGTAATCTATTGTACATACACACTTCTATGACTTTGAAATAATATGGTGCACTTATTTCTAGATAGATAAATTTTCTTTAAACTACAGAATACTACTGTAGGCAAACAATTCTGAAAGACAATATTACTTTTATGTTTATAATTTTCCATATTAATTTTTGTAAAAATAATTCCGTTATTCAAAACATTATTTGTTGATAGTCTTAAATCTTTACCTAATTCCCATGAAGTCATTTACCTCAACATCTCTTCTGTAGTTTACTACTCAAACTCAGGATGGCTCATTTTAATTTATATTAATGAATTTTCAAAGAAATAGTGATGTTTATTTTAATATTAGATTTTAAGAAGGAGCATTGTTTCTTCTATAAGTTAATACAGCTGTAGACTGATAGAAAAATTAGCAAGGTCATACTGCTTTCTAATTCTTTAAATCTGTTACTTTCCTCTATCTCTCTGCCTCATCACTCTTCATCTCTTTTTAAAATCTCATTGGAAAACTAATTTCCCTCTTGCCTCTACTGCTCAGTTATTTTCTCTTTTTCATTTATTAATTCAACTCTAAATAATACTGGAATGGAGGAAAAGTCGTACCTGACATCCTACATATCCTGCGCACTCACTGCCATATGGGGGTGGGTTAAAATTTTTATGTGGAAATTGCCTGTGAGTTGCAAATTGACTCTGTCAACAAAGTATTTTGTCAAAGGGATATGGCTTTAGTATAAATTTCATCAAAAGACAAGAAAGCAAAGAAACATCAGCCAGCCCCCCTCCATCCTCCATCCTGCTGCAAAAGAGACTGTGTTTGGAGATGTCATTGCAATGCCTTGGGATAGTACTTGGGTATATCCCATTAAAATCTCTTCTCCATAGACATGCTTCCTCAGCTAATTATATATTATCTTGTGTGTAACAGAAAATATAATCCAGCTGTGTATTTGGAGCATTTGGGAGAACAAACCTAATACAGTTGCTGATTCGTATACAGCTTGGTATGCTTAATACAGCTCTCGGGGACCAATATTTTTTTATAATTAACTTTAAGGGTTTGGGTGGAAAAGGGGAGGAATAAGCATTTTCCAGTTCAGCTGCACAATCTCAACTGCAGCTAGTATGGATTATATCCTCTATGTACTCTTTCCTTTCCCGTGAGGGAATTCCTACAGAAGGACTTAAGTGTCATTACAAGGCTGTAACAAGGCCATATCTTATCCTGCTACTCCATCTGACTTGAATGTGTGACCTTTTTGGTGAGAGATAAATAGATTACAATGTCCTGGAATCTTTCAAAAAGTACAAGTTTTGGGCAGTGTCTGAGTAACTGTTTTAAAGTACAAAAGAAAAATTGATTACTATTAGCAATGAAACGGAGGTTATATTGATATCTGGAGTTTGATTTTTAAAGGGAAAGACAATACTGTCTATGAGAGATTTTTTCTTTTAAAAGTACTGGTCTGTTCGTGGAAGATATTAAAGGATTATAAAATGGAATGGATAGATAACAGACTGCAGAATAGGGCAGACAGCCTGTACAAACAGAGATAATTTGCAAATATTTAGTATCTATGAAGACTCCAAAGAAGGTCTATGGAGAATGTTGCTAACTATATAGTTTTCAGAATGATTCATAATCTACTGGAAATAAGATATTTCAGATACCAGGACTCAACATACAGTACTAATTCAGGCTCATGATATTCTCTCTCTGGTTACATCACATAACTATTCAAGCAATGGAAAAATTTTACTGTGAAAGAAACTCATAGCTTCTTGGACTGAACATCTAGGAATTTTTGTTCTTCTCACAGGCCAAGTCAGTTCTCTAATTATGTCCCATGCCAGCTTATGTTCACTGTGTTTTTGGCTGAAGGGCTGCAGAACAAAGTGACTTATTGTCAGCCAACCACATAAATAGGTACAAGCGTATTCCTAAATAGGAAACTGAAACTTCGTACAACCCATGTAGAATTGGCTCACAATGAAGTTCTGTTATTTTCTCAACATTTTAATTTTTACAAACACATAGAAAGCCAAACACTATTTTGTTAAGTTATTGTTCTGGGTATTGTAGAATCATAGAATCGTTTATGTTGGAAAGGCCCTTCAGATCATCTAGTTCCAACCCCCTGCCATGGGCAGGGGTGCCTCACACTAGACCATGTCACCCAAGGCTCTGTCCAACCTGGCCTTGAACACTGCCAGGGATGGAGCACTCACAACTTCCTTGAGCAATCCATTCCAGTGCCTCACCACCCTCACAGTAAAGAACTTCTTCCTTATATCTAAACTGAACTTCTCCTATTTAAGTTTAAACCCATTACCCCTTGTCCTATCACTACAGTCCCTGATGAAGAGTCCCTCTCCAGCATCCTTGTAGGCCCAGCTTCTCTTCTCCAGGCTGAACAGCACCAACTTTCTCAGCCTGTCTTCTTATGGGAGGTGCTCCAGCCCCCTGATCATCCTCGTGGCCTGGACTTGCTCCAACAGCTCCATGTCCTTTTTATGTTGAGGACACCAGAACTGGACACAATACTCCAAGTGAGGTCTCACGAGAGAGGAGTAGAGGGGCAGGATCACCTCCCTTGACTTGCTGGTCACGCTCCTTTTGACGCAGCCCAGCATACAGTTGGCTTTTTGGGCTGGGAGCTCATTTCAGTTTCTCCTTAACCAACACCCCCAAATCCTTCTCCACAGGGCTGCTCCGAATCACTTCTCCATTAAACCTGTAGCTGTGCTATTTAATTTTTTTTTCCAGTTTACCCTTTTCTTTCCGCATCATTAAAGCTGCACGAGCTCAATAGAGAAGTGCAGCCAAGGAAGAAAATTCTCCAGCATTTACAGAGCCTAACAAACCTAACTCTTTTTTTCATGACTTGGCTTATATTTCTTTCTTTGAGATCTTCTTACATATTCACTAGTTCCATTGTGACTTTCAGATGGGGGCAAATAAACAGCAAAAACAGACTTACCAGGCAACCTTTTAAGGTATGGACAGCAAAATTTTCTGTGTTTGTCTTTAGGAGTGAAGGCACTGATTAGCACTGAATTTTATGCTGGTGCAAGACCCTGTAGGCAACTGGAAATGAGAAAATGTGTTTTGTGGTTTGGGAGAAGCACAGTTCAAATTATGTGTTCACAAGACGTGCTGTGTGTGCACCTTGTACCTTTATTTGTAATGTATGTTGTTGCCCTTTTCTGTGAAATCACCTAATTTTGACAGGATTCCAGAAATTTTACATGAATGCCATGCAGTTTCTCTCTCTTGTAACCGTTTGCAACCCTCTAAGCATGTCTGGTTCACTCCATCATTTTAGCACAGATTATTGCTAAATAATGCCACAAAATGAAATCACATTGACATTCACCTTAATTGTATTGTCTCATTGTCACTCTAATGAGAAGTTTTTACAGTCCATAAATCAAAATATTTTCAAGCATATGACCCATTTATCCATGATCACAAATGTAGCTACTATTGGACAGGTATATCTACTGCCTGCTTGCTGCTCTACTTGATTCTGATGTGAAACAAGACAGTAATTAACAAGTTAGAAGTAAAACTACAAAAAATAGTACAGAATAAACCTTCTAATTATACAGCATTGTATGTGGGATCAAGTGAAAAGTTTAAAGTATTTCTTAAAATATTAAAAATACAAAACATATTGCTCTTTAGGATCTGAGTTTGGGTGATGCTGTAAGTGAGACCTACTTTCTCATAGTACTTGATCTCGTAGTCCAGAATTGCTCCATGGGGAAAGTCCGGCTCTTGCCAGGAGAGGGCAATGCTGTTTTGGGAAGCCCAGTCCTTCCTTACCATACCTATCAAGGAGGGTGCTGAAAGGGAAAAGGATAACTAAGGGTTAAAGACGAAGCACACGGTTTATCCTTTCAACCTACTGTTTTAGGATACCAACCCGAGGTAACTTGGAGCGACCTCCAGACAGAAAAGCATGACAGATGGCAATTCTCAGGGAAACCATATAACCTGGAATTAATGTCTCAAGTACATACTAGTAACTCCTTTGTTAAAGTGCACTCCAGCTTCTGAAAAATAGCTATATGCAAAAATATAGAAAGAAGAACCTGTGCAAGCCCCCACCACCAGCTGTGTGCAACCAGGTTGCACTGCTGGCTTGGAGGACATCATGTCCAAAGCAGAACCACATTTCAGAGACATTAAATTCTACATTCGGGATAATCTTCATTAAATGTTATAATTCAACTGTGAAAAATGTACATTCAGTTTACTTTTTGGGGTGAAATAAAGTGACACAGCTTAAAGCAGATGCAGTGAATCCTCTTTCTGCTAGCTGAGCTGGCAACAGCAAGGACATTTTAGCCTGTCCGTGTGGTACCCATGTGCCCAGAAGATCCAGCTTGTTAGAGGCCAGTGGCAGGGATTGGGTTATGAGCAAACCATGGGGGCAAAGGCACTCCCAAAACCTACATACTGCAATTGATATTGTAGGTCTGAAGCAGTGCGGCTAGTAGGAACCATTTCTAGCAGCTATTGGAAAGGGCCCAACATGGGTTGGTTCACCTGAGAGCCAAATCTCACTAGGGGGTCAACTAATTTTAAGAAACAGGCTTTTTGCCCTTTTGGAAAAGAAGGTGGGCTGTTTCAAATAGTGCAAAAATCGCATTCTAGAAAATGATCTTTGCTTATTTTATTAATCTGGTCAAGCACATCAAAGGAGGTCTAATATTCTCCAGACACTAATGCTGTTTTAATAGTATTGATGCACAGCTTTCCCAAACATTACAACAAAACCAGTCATGTTGTTCAACAGCCTTGAAGACAACTGAACCAGCTGAACAAACCAGCTGCCATAAAAAGAAAAGTTCTTCAAGTGATTCACAGCTGTAACTATTTGTCTTTCAACTAATAAATATTAGTTTATTACACACTCTCCCCCCATTTCTCTCTATTATGAATCTTACTTAACCTCTTCTAAGCTTCCAAGGAGCTGTCTTCTAAAAAGAACACATTTTTATGACTTTCGTCTTTTTCTTTTGAATGAAAGAGTCTCCCCAGGAAAATTATATAAACTAAATAAAAAATCTGCTTCTAGTCACAAAATGTCATGCCTTAGTTTTCTTTCCTGTAAATATTTCAGGAAGTTTAAGGAATGAAAATGATAAATAAATTCTAGAACGCAAACAAACACTGAATAAAACAAAACCGGTTGCTCTCCTTTGAAAGAAAGAAAACTACAGAGAGACGTGCACATAACACTCTCTTTCTTTGTGACAGTGCATTTATCTGAGAGAGAAAATAAACTTCTATCTACTGTCAATTTTATGGTCTAATAGTTGAGTCCTCTTTGATGTGAAAAAAATCCGCACAACCCAACATGTAACACTAAATGAAAAAAACTACCAGAAGTGTTAAGTGGACAAACCAGAGCCTGCTCAGGAAACCGTTGTAAACCTGTACTAATTACAGCTTAATGACAGGTCTGATGTAACGGAATGAGAGATAAAAAAGAATTCCTGCCATACTGAATAAAGATTAACCTATTTTTCAGGAAGTCCTTTAAAAGCATAATGTAAGTAACTGAATAGAGAAAAATACAATTAAATAAATAAAAGGCATTCATATGTTCTGGGCCAAAACATTATCTCTGGGTATGTGTAACTACTCCCTCAGTTAAAATGAAAGTTTTACTCTTGAAATTGAGGGTGAAGCTGAGCACTCATAATATTTCTCTGGGGTAAAATCAGCTACTCCAAGCAGGGAACAAAGATAGGTCTGTTTAAAGAAAAACAGGAGGTAGCAAACATGGATTTGTGTTTGGTAAACACCGATCAAGTGTCTACAAGGGCATTGCTTATATAAATCTGTTTACTACTTCTTGTTTTGAATCATTCACTGGTATCCAGCTGTGATTTACAGGCGGGTCTGAGGGAGGTATAGCAACCTTTCAGATACATCTGGTACGCCCTGTGTGCCTGCCCACAGGTGATGGACATCAGCTGGACCACCTTCCCTAGCACATCATGGCTTCATCTTGCTGCGTTTGGGGGTTCACCAGTCAGGCAACTAAATTCTTGTGAAATGGTTGAGGTTGATTACAGAAAACACCAGGTTAAACTATCGACATAATTACATTCTTCACCCTTCTAGGATTTTTAAATACAGATTACTGCTATTACACTTCTTCGAATTATCACATAACCTGTATAAGCTTCTCGTATGTACCGCAAGTTCTGCATTTTCCTTTGGGTTCTGATTTCCAAATTCATACAGCAATTTATGCATGTTTTCAACCTGAGCTCTCTGCAGTAACTCTTCCATCTGAGGAACTGCATGTCAAAACACTGTCCTGGCGCATCAGAAGGTCCTCTCAAAAGAAATAACCCCAGTCCTCTTCCTGGGAAACAACTCAGGAGCGTACTAAGGGGAAAACAATTATTTCAGCCCTCTCCTAAGATAGCTGTATTTGACCTGCATTTGAAATGGAAAACCCCATACAGCAAGACTCACAACACACCCGTAGTACTGTGCCAGCACTGCATCCCCTAAATCAAAATGCAGAGACTATGAATATGAGAAGCGTATCTGTGTTTCTACTAGGGTACCTGGCAAAAACCCCCACGTACCTTTCAACAAAAAGCCACAAAAGAGCCACCACTCATCATTTCTTATATGTTCAGAAGGATGATTGTATATTTATCATACAGAGGTTATGTATTCACATCTCAGACAAAATAATGACTTCTCAGGAAAAGAACTCCAGCCAAAAATTTATTGTACAAAAAACCAGACAAATAAGCCCAAGCAATTAAAAGCTGCAGCTATCTCAGTTTCTAGCTCTTTAGTTGTGAAATGCTACTAAAAGCAATACTTTCTATGGAGAAATTTCAGCTTCTTGTTACAGTTGCTCACCGGAGCAGAAGTTATTTAGACTCTAAAGATCCTATCCATTTATTGTTAAAGCTCTTTTTGACTGGAAAATTTAAGATACGTAAATCCTATTTGCCCATTTATAAAGACTGCTCTAATGTTCCTATGATGAATCAATGGGAAGTTCTTTTAATTAGCTGCTTCAAATCCAGTAGCTGCAGGAGTGCTCTAATTTGGTTACCCAATGAAACCATTGAAAAAAAAAAATGCTTAGAAGCTCAGCATGGCTTTTAATCACTTTAATGGCAGCATTTTCTTGCCATTGGTACTAGGCTGAAGGATGGTTTCTGGCTCTTGAGCTCAGTGCTGATCTCTGTTTTGTACCGAGGATTCTTTGCACCATCTGCTCTTTATATTTTCCTCTATACTGTTATAAATTTCTTGAATTAAGATGAGTCATCTACAAAGCTGTGAGCTCCTCATTTAATTTATTCTGTTAAGTTTGTCTTTTCAAATTTGTATTGAATAATGAAAGTTCATTCCCTAATTCAGAGTGATCTTATTTTATCCTAAATCTCTTTGGCTTCTTTTTTTCAGAATCCCTTTTCTCACAGGCTATACAAAGGACAGAAAATGTATGTTTTAAATGATGATTGGATTCCAGTGTCACTTCTCTAGAGACTTGCTCTTCTTCTGAAGTTGACTTCCATTATCTCTAACTTTCTGATTTCAAAACAGATGATCTGTAGGGTTTCTGAAGCCTTTTTCCTTTAGTCCATTTTCTAAATTTCCAGTTTCTTGTTTCACACTGTTTAAAGTGAGCTAAGTATTGCCAGCATTTCTCCCCTGGTTTCCAGGGTTGAACACCTCTGATATGGTGCCCATTCACTATGAAGAAGCTTCAGACCCAAAGGCAGCTGATGACAAAAGCTCACCCGATGTCCGTCTGTACCCTACCTCTCTGGTATCTCATTACAGATCTTATTTCTTTGGTGCAGAGGTACCATGACAGCTCAATGGTCTTTCACAGGCTGGCAGAACAGCTGTACCTACCAGGTATGCACAATCACTCCCTTGTCAAAAAGAACATACCATTCAACAAGCAAGAACAGCTGTATCACCATTGTCCTCTTCCCTCCTTCCATCTCTGCACTGTGTTTGTTTTGGCCAAAGCCAATGAAGTGCGAGCAAATACAAATTTGGAGGGGATGGAGCAGAAGAGAGATCTAAGAACTGCACACACATTGCAGTGAGGACTACAAGTTCACTCCTTTGGACACCATCCTCATGAGAAAGCTGTGGGTCTAAACGTGCAAAATGCTGCCATTTGGTATAATGTTGTTTCATTTAGTTAGGAGTTTCTATACCTCTACCATTACCAATAATAATCTGAATTGCATAGTTACATGTTATTCTTTCATCAAGACCTCTGCTTGCTTCAAGACACAGGAAAGACTATACTCACCAAAATATAGCACTTTATCACGTTTCCTCAGTAGGGGTTTCCCAACAGAGGAAGGAACCCATCCCCTTCCCCGTCTCTTCCTTCTCTCCTACCTCAGCCACTTCCCAGCTGCAGCTGGGGTGAAATACTAAGGCCCACTCAGCAACCTGGCTTCTCTTTGAAAACTCATTAATCGATCCCTCCTAGTTTCATACCATATAATTGAGAAAGAAACCTACTTTAACATTCTGCAGGGAGCCTGCAATCCTCTTGTTGGGGAACAATATCTTTCATTACGGGAAGGACAGTTGATATTAGATTGAAAAGGAAAAAGTGGTCTAGATTTGTGTTTCTCCTTACAAATATAGCTATAGTTTGAAAACACCACTGTCAATTTTTTGTCAAACCATACGTATGCAGTATTTATAATTGTTAATTATAGTAATGTACCACGGTCCAATTTTCAAATGTTTTTTTCTGGATGGTAAAAACAACCTTTGCACCAGTTTCTATACCAGAAAATGCTATTATATTTATAGGGTG